GTATTTTTTAAAGATAGATGCAACACTATTTCCCATCCCACATGGTCTTCCACAGTATGTTCTTAGCACTTTCCCTTCAAGAGGTGAACTCAAATTCCCCTTCCTTTGAATTTGGGCTGGATTTAAGTCTCACTAGTAACCATTAAAATGCAGAAGTGATGTTGTAATACTTCCAAAGCTAGGTCAGAAAAAGCCAGCTTCCACCTGGTTCTCTTAGAATGTTCCCTCTTGGGATGTTCATCTTGAAATAAACAAACATTCTGTGAAAAATCCGTGACCATGTAGGTGCTCCTGCTGACAGTTCTAGCTTAGATTGGTATTCAAGTCCTCCAAGTCCAAATTTCAAGCATGAGAGAGAAGCAGCCTGGAAGTGGATATTCCAGCCCTACCTGGACTAGTCGTTCAAATAACCCCAGCTGAGACTCCAGACATCACGAAGCAGAGAAAAACCATCCCTGCTGTGTTCTGTCTGGATTTTTGATCCACAAAACCTATGAGCATAATCACATGGTTGTCGTATGGCACGAAGTTTTGGGTGGCTTGTTACACAGCAATCATCAGAGCACTTAAATCCTTCTCAAGAAGAACCACTGGAAAGTTAGACCAAAGAATAATAAAATGGTTTTTTAAGAGGGAATTGATGGAACAGATTGTATGGGACACAAACTGATGCAAAATTTCTCTGAACGCATTTTGTTATATGTTTTTAACTTTAAAATCATGAAAATGTTATAGTCTTTAAAAGTAAAATTAAATCAGAAAAATGGCAGTCCTTGAACACTGAAAATAGAAACAAATGAATCTAGCTGCAAATTACGTTGGTTAGAAGTAAGCATTTTCACTCTACATTGTTAGTGAATGATCTGAAGGACAGAGAGTGATGCCAAGAAATCTTCAACTTCATTCAGCATTTATTTTTGGTGGTAATGCTCGTATTCTGTTGTAAGTATTTTATACTGCTTATAAATCACAGCACGCACTTAGCTCATTGTTAAAATCCAGTAAGACTTTAGGGGAAAAGCAGAAAATGCAAGAAGAAAATTAAAGTTAAAAATAATGTGGTATTACATTTGAACTGAAAGTATCAATATGAACTCATAGGTTTTTTTGTTAAGTTAAAAAAACTTTTAATTGAACTATAATAAATGTACAGAAAAGTATACAAATGTACAACTCAATGAATTTTCACAAACTGAATACATCAGAGTAATCAGCACCCAAACCAAGCAACAAAACATTACTAGCATCTACAGAAACCTCCCATTGCTCTTTCCATCACTATCCCTCCTGCCATGTACCCCTACCTACCCCCTCACCCCCACCAGTATCCTGACTTCTACCTACATTAAAAAGTTCTCAATTTTTGTGTTCTATATAATCATATAGTATGTCCTCTTTTATGTCTGGCTTCTTTTGCCCAGCATTATACTTTTGAGATTTATCTGTATTGTTGTACGTAGTCATAGATTGTTCATTTTCATTGTAGTATAGTGTTGATTCAGAAATTTTATTTCTGCAGAAAAGCAACAGTTCAATATTCAAAAAGGTGACTTTAGAACATGATGCCACATCCAGGGAAACATACCTCACATCCACCTTCCAACACAACTAACCACCTGGCATGAGGTCTGAACTTTCCACCTTTGCCGTCACCTGTTTCAGTTACAGAAGTTACCCGTTAAAATGGGTTCGTATCCCAAACATACTCACAGGCATTGAGAGTGAAAGTTACATGGTAAAAGGTGCTTCAGATATATTAAGTTAAATAAAATCAATTAAACTCTCATTACTTCATTATTTGGAGAAGCTTATAGTTTTATTTTCTAAAACAATTATTAATTTTAATATGCAATACTTTAATATGCTCATTTAACCACAGAAAGATTTTTTTTTTTAATGCCATCAAGCACTAGCGTTTCCTGGGAAATGGTTTCAAATGCTATCAAGTTTCATACTCCATTTGAGAAATGGAATATAATGATGTAATACACTGAACATCATAGCTTCCCAATTATAGCAGCAAATACAGTTCACAATGGATGACCGCAGTGAAATCACTGAAGTCCAACTGATGTAATCATTTATAAGAACTCTGTCTTTATTAATTTTGAGAAGGTAATTTTAAGGTGTTGGGTTATACTTTTACATACACAAAATTTATTCCATTCTTAATACATAGAAAGCTAAAGAAGAAAAGACAATCAGCATCAATTGGGATGATACTGGGCCAGAATCATACCTCTTTCACTATTATTATGATGTTCTGAAGGTAGAATGCCTAGAATCTAAATATATAATTAAAGCCAGAGGGATCTGGTCCAAGATATTCCACATAAATGATTTTCTATTCTATATTTAAACCATTGGATATAATTTGCCATAGAAATTAGAATTACTAGATTTCTCTTCATACGGGAAATGTCTAGATTTTGGTTTCCCCAGCCTCCTCATCTACTTCATATAATCAGTTTTAGGTTAGTCTTGTAGAATAGTATGTTGGAAAAATTTAGCAATTACCAATTCTTCAAATATTTTACTTGTAAAAAATTAGGTTCTCGGAGTCTCTCTGAGACTACTCTGGCTCGGGAGAGTAGGATTTAAAAAAAAAAAAGTCAGATTCTAAATGTATTCTTTTAGAAAGCATTATCTTCTAACCGTCTTAATTTTTCCTTTGTTTGTTGGTCTACTCAGGCTTTCTTCAGCATGTGAAGTAAATTTTAGTATATTTTTTCCATAAAATAATTCTGGATTTTCAATATTTTAAAATACATGTATAGTGTGTGTATAAATATATATACCTACACACTAAACACATACACATTACGTATCTATAGTATAGCAACTTATAACTTTAAAAATCCATAGCTGCCACTTTTATGATTCATATAGCTGTAGCTGTGTCATCTTTCATATTTCTATTCTGTGATCAAGACTGCCAAGGTCTTGATTATATTGGTATCCTTTAAAGAAACACACAAAAACAACCAAGTCTACTTTTTATTATTTATACCAGTGCTGACAATAGAAATATGTGAGCTACAGATATAAAATTTTCCTGTAACACATTTTTTAAAAACAAAAAAGTTATTCATTTTAATGTATTTTATTTGAACCAATATATCTAAAATATTATTTCAATATGTACTCAATATGAAAAACTGAGATATTTAACTTTTTAAAAACAACTAAGTCTTTAGAATCTTGTGTTTCACATTTACCACCATTTGAATTTGGACTAGCCACATTTCAGTGCTCAATAACTCAATTTCAAGTGCTCAACAGGTTGCTAGTGACTACCATATATTAGACAGTACAGGTCTAGTCCATTATTTCCCACATTTAGCAGTAGTAATTGCCTTCTTTTACTCATTCTTTAAACATATGAAGTACCGGCCGGGCGCAGTGGCTCACGCCTGTAATCACAGCACTTTGGGAGGCTGAGGCAGGTGGATCACCTGAGGTCACGAGTTGAGACCAGCCTGGCCAACATGGTGAAACCCCATGTTTACTAAAAATACAATATCAGCCTGGCATGGTGGCAGGCACCTGTAATCCCAGCTACTTGGAAGGCTGAGGGAGGAGAATGGCTTGAACCCAGAAGACAGAGCTTGCAGTGAGCCAAGATTGTGATTGTAGCACTGCACGCCAGTCTGGGCGACAGAGAGAGACTCCATCTCAAAAAAAAAAAAAAAAAAAAAAGGTGCATACCATGGGTACTATAATACAGAGATAGAGAGGTGAACTAAATAATGTGGACCCACATTTTAAGAGACAGATAGTACCCATGGTATGCACCTTTTTTTTTTTTTTTTTTTTTGAGACGGAGTCTCACTCTGTCACCCAGGCTGGAGTGCAGTGGCCGGATCTCAGCTCACAGCAGGCTCCGCCTCCCGGGTTTACGCCATTCTCCTGCCTCAGCCTCCCGAGTAGCTGGGACTACAGGCGCCCGCCACCTCGCCCGGCTAGTTTTTTGTATTTTTTAGTAGAGACGGGGTTTCACCGTGTTAGCCAGGATGGTCTCGATCTCCTGACCTCGTGATCCGCCCGTCTCGGCCTCCCAAAGTGCTGGGATTACAGGCTTGAGCCACCGTGCCCGGCCTTTTTTTTTTTTTTGAGATGGAGTTTTGCTCTTGTTGCCCAGGCTGGCGTGCAATGGCATGATCTCGGCTCACTGCAACCTCTGCCTCCTGGGTTCAAGTGATTCTCCCGTCTCAGTCTCACGAGTAGCTGGTATTAACAGGTGCATGCCACCATGCTCGGCTAATTTTTGTATTTTTAGTGGAGATGAGGTTTTGCCAGGATGGTCAGGCTGGTCTCAAACTCCTGACCTTGTGATCTGCCCACCTTGGCCTCCCAAAGTGCTGGGATTACAGGCATGAGCCACCATGTCCAGCCAGAAATTTTTTTTAATAATTCATTTTAAACTGGTTATAATTTCATGGATAATTTGATCTTTAAAAGAACATCATGGAAAATTTTAAAAACACAGAAGTAGAGAGAATAGCAAAAACAAATAAAAACCATGTATCCAAGACTTAGGTTACCATCATTTTGCCAAACTTGTTATTCATCCTCATTTTTCTTTTGCATGAACAAAATGACATTCCAGATATATCATCTCCTGTGTATAAACTTCAGAAATTATCTCTAACAAATAGACTTTTACATAACCACAATGCTATTATCACACATAACAAAAAGTTTCTTAATATTATCTAATATTGTCAATATTCCCATTCTCCCAATTATAAGTATGTCTTCTTTTACATGTTTGTTCAACTCATGATCTAAGTAAAAACCACTCTTTCATTGCATTTGATTGATGTTGTCTCAAGTTTGTCAATACCTAAGAGTTCCACCTTATCTCTTAAAATGCCATTTTATTGGTTGGGAAACCAGGTGATTCCTCTTGTAGAATTACCCTTATTTTATATTTAATTGCTCCTTTTCATGTCATGTAATTTACTTTTCCATTCCTTGAATTTTCTATAAACTGGGAGTTAGTTCTTGAGGCTTAAATTCAGGTTCAGTATTTTTGGCAAGATGTGTTTATCTTACTGTATCACATTAGGAGGCACATAATTTTTACTGTCTTGCTTTTTGTGAAGTTAAGATGATCAGTGGGTTCAGATGTTGTCAGTCTCATCTATTCACTGTAAAGTTCACAACCTTTCACTGAATAGTCTCAACCTCTACAGAGAATCATGCCTAAATCCATTATTTCATTATGTGTTACACAATAGTTCTTCTAATACAATTTTCTATTGTTCTTTCTGCATTCATTAGCCTGGAATTTTCTAATAAAGAAGAACTTTACCTCATTAACTTCTGGTTGCCTTGAAATACAGTTTACACAGGAAATGTAGACTAAATGACTTTCCTTTCATTTGCACATTTTCAGAATGAGGTGGTTCCCTGGCAACCTCCTTGTGTATACTACACAGATGGAAGAATATGGAGATAATAATAGGTAAGATCAAAAGCTTTTTCACATTCAGTACTTTAATAAAGTTCCTTTCTAGGATGAATTTCCTGTAACATGGTTTCAAAGGTGATGAAAGGCTTCCATATGTTCATTAACATATTCTTTCCTTTAAATAAAACTTCCTTAGTTGTGAGCATGAAGCAAAAGGGATTCCCACGTTCAAAAACCTTTCCTCTAGAATGTACTTCCTATGCGCAACATAAAATTCACAATGGAAGAGTTCTAATAGCTATTAAGTTACATTATGAATTCGCTGATGGTAAGTAAGATGTGAATGTTGTCTAAATGCCTTTTTACATTCCTTACATTTGTAAGGTTTCTCACCAGAATGAATTCTCTGATGTTGAATCAGTGATGAATGAAGTCTAAAGGCCTTTCCACATTCCTTACAGTCATAGGGCTTTTCACCAGTATGAATACTTTGATGTTGAGTAAGTTGCGAAAGCAGTCTAAAAGTCTTCTCACATTCCTTACACTTATAGGGTTTCTCACCAAAATGAATACTCTGATGTTGAGTAAGCTGTGAGAACAGTCTAAATGCCTTCCCACATTCCTTACATTCATAAGGTTTCTCTCCAATGTGAATACCCTGATGTGAAATAAGTTCTGAGTAACGACGAAAGAACTTCTGACATTCCTTACATTCATAGGGCTTCTCACCAGTATGTATTCTCTGATGGAGAGTTAGATGATAGCCACGACTAAAAGTCTTCCCACATTCCTTACAATTGTAAGGCTTCTCACCAGTGTGAATTCTCTGATGGAGAGTAAGTTGTTGCCGCACTCTAAAGGCCTTTCCACACTCCTTACATTCATAGGGTTTTTCTCCAGTGTGAAGTTTGTGATGTATTCGAAGGCCTGTACTACACAGAAAGGCCTGACCACATTCCTTACACTCATAGCACTTCTCAGCAATGTTAAGTCTCTGATGTCGAGTAAGGTGTGCATACTGCCTAAAGGCCTTCCCACATTCCTTACATTCATAGGGCTTCTCACCCGTGTGAATCCTTTGATGGAGATTAAGTTGTCCTCTAACTCTAAAGGCTTTCCCACATTCTTTACATTCATACGGTTTCTCACCAATATGAATTCTCTGATGTACTCGAAGGTCTGAGCCACATGTGAAGATCTTTCCACATTTTTTACATTCATAGAGTTTGTCAGAAGTATGAATTCTCTGATGTCGACTGAGGTGGGCACACTGTCTAAAGGCTTTTCCACATTCTTTACATTCATAGGGTTTCTCACCAGTATGAATTCTTTGATGGAAAGTAAGTTGTTGTCGTACTCTAAAAGCCTTCCCACATTCCCCACATTCGTAGGGTTTCTCTCTGTTATGACTCTTCTGATACAGAGGAAGAGATGTGAGTTTTCTGTAGGTAGGCGTTTTTCCAGAAGTGGTTTTTGTCACTTGCCTGAAACACACTTCATGAGGACTTTCTTGTCCTTCAAGTCCACAGCTTTTAATTCTTTCCATTACCTTCCACTGAGATAAGTTCATTTCATAAATATCCTTTTCTTGAAATAACTTTTTAGTGTCATATCTGGATTCCAAATCTGAAAGAAAACAAGACCAAAACATATTTTCCTGTTCTACACAAAATAAACAAAAAACTTTATGATAGAACTCAATGACACCCACAAAAAAGAAAAGAAAGCCCAACTGAAGTAAATGGGCTCAAAATCTCTAAAACAGGTAACTTTAAAAAAGCTAAAAGGAAATATGAAAATGATGAGTTAAGACCAGATTATTTGGGTGCAGATCAAAGTTTGAGACTCTGCAATTAAATTTTTTAAATTTCTCTTTTCAATTAGAATAAAGAGCAAATACTTTATCAGGAGTAACATGGACTCTGTTAACCACAAGGTATCAACTCAAGCCACTGACCCCTTTGTTGTCCATGTCCCTATCACACTTGCCTCCTTTCTGCTCCTAGAATGTGTCGCGATCTTTCTTTTTTATTTTTGAGACACAGTCTCTGTTGCTCAGGTTGGAGTGCAGCGGCATGATGTCGGCTCACTGTAACCTCTGACTCCCGGGTTCAAGCAGTTCTCCTGCCTCAGCCTCCCTAGTAGCCGGAATTACAGGAGTGCGCCACCACGCTTGGCTAACTTTTGTATTTTCAGTAGAGACGGGGTTTCACCATGCTGGCCAGGCTGGTCTCAAACTCCTGACCTCAAGTGACCCGCCTGCCTCGGTCTCCCAAAGTGTTGGGATAACAGGCATGAGCCACTGCATCCGGCCCAATCTTTCCACTTCTTGGAGCTTTTCACTGGCTATTAAATCTCCCAGGAATCCTGACTTGGGTTTGCATGGTTGGGTTTCTTTCATACATCAGATTTCATTCTAAAAATCAGAAAAACGATCCCTGCTAACTTCATGTAATATATATCCTTTGTTTTCTATACCAGTCACTTCTTCTTTTCTTCTTTCTTTTTTTTTGAGACGGAGTCTCGCTCTGTCGCCCAGGCTGGAGTGCAGTGGTGCAATCTCGGCTCACTGCAAGCTCCGCCTCCTGGGTTCACGCCATTCTCCTGCCTCAGTCTCCCGAGTAGCTGGGACTACAGGTGCCTGCCACCATGCCCGGCTAATTTTTGGTATTTTAGTATAGATGGGGTTTCACTGTGTTAGCCAGGATGGTCTCGATCTCCTGACCTCGTGATCCACTCGCCTCGGCCTCCCAAAGTGCTGGGATTACAGGCACGAGTCACCGTGCCCGGCCTCCTTTTTCTTTTTCTTTTTTTTTTTTTTAAGACAGAGTTTCGCTGTTGTTGCCCAGGCTGGAGTGCAATGGCGCAATCTCGGCTCACTGCAACCTCCGCCTCCCAGGTTCAAGTGATTCTCCTGCCTCAGCCTCCCAAGTAGGTAGGATTACAGGCGCCTGCCACCACTGTATTTTAGTATAGACGGGGTTTCACCATCTTGGCCAGGCTGGTCTTGAACTCCTGACCTCGTGATCCGCCTGCCTCAGCCTCCCAAAGTGCCGGGATTATAAGCGTCAGCCACCGCGCCCAGCCTACTTCTTTCCTTTTTTTTTTTTTTTTTGAGAGAGTCTCACTGTGTCGCCCAAGCTGAAGTGCAGTGGGGCATGATCTCGGTTCAGTGCAATCTCTGCCCCAGGGTTCAAGCAATTCTTGTGTCTCAGCCTCCCAAGTAACTGGGATTACGAGCACCCGCCACCACATCTGGCTAATTTTGTATTTTTAGTGGAGACTGAGTTTCACAATTTGGCCAAGCTGATCTCAAACTCCTGTCCTCAAGTGATCTGCCAGCCTCAGCTTCCCAAAGTGCTGGGATTACAGGTGCGAGCCACCATGCCTGACTACTTATTTCTTAACACTTTTCTCAATTGTGTTGTTATTCATTAATTTCCCCACTTATTATTATCTTTATTTTCTTACCTTAAACTTCCCCAAGGGCAGAAACAATTTTTCACTCACCAGTGAATAACAAATCCACAGTACATGTTAACTATGAATTAAATTCTCATAATTAGTCAGCAATTATGGCATATGATATCCTGCCTCCAATCTTAAACCTTACTACACTGATTAAACATTCTTTTTATCACTTCCTACAGAGATGGGAAACAAGCACATCTAAGCTGTCTCAGTAAGTATATAAATGGAAAATAGTGATTTCTTTACACTTGATCATCTTCCAATTTGCCTCTTCATGTACACTTGCAGGTATCTCCACTGCAGTTCAACTCCTACTTTGCATAGTCATAGGTGAGCTTTGCCCCCATTCATGACCAAGGTAATGAGAGGCTCTAAATATCTATCTTCACTTGAGTTTACATAACGTGCACATCTATGTTACAGGTTCCCCATATCTTACCAGAAGTCCCCATAATGCCATCTGGGTACTTCCTAGAGAATATTTCAGTGATTTTCCAGGTGTAACAACAGGTTTATGCTATGGTAAAAGGCTAGTAAAATTCTGAGCAAAGAGATGTTTTTTGCAAATGTGCATGTTCTCAAAATCTTTGCAATAGGAATTCAATACTCTTTAAAAAGGAAAAGGTATTTTAAATAATGTTGCTTTAGGGTTAGGATTAGAGTTAGGGTTAAAGCAACATTATTTGCAATCTACCCAAAGTGGAAAGAATCCAAGTATTCATTAATGGAAGAACAGCTAATAAATGATGGCATATTAATACATCACAATACCATACAGCAACGAGAATTAACAATCTACAACTACATGCAAGATTAGCAAGGGCTAATCTCACAAACATAATGGTGAGTAAACAAAACTAGACATAGAACGATATATACTGTACAATTCCATTTTTATAAAGTTTAAAAATGATAATTAATAATCTATAGTGGTGTCAGGACAGTGGTTAGCCTTGGTGGGGAGGAATGACTGAAAGAAGTCAGGAAGGGCTTCTGGTATCCCAGTAAAGTTCTATTTCTGAATCTGTGTACTAATTAGATGGGTGTGGGTCACTGTGCCAATTCACTAATTATCTGTATATTTTTGTGTGTATTTATATTTCAATAAGTTTACTTTAAAAAAGTATACATTAGGGCCGGGCGCGGTGGCTCAAGCCTGTAATCCCAGCACTTTGGGAGGCCAAGACGGGCGGATCACGAGGTCAGGAGATCGAGACCATCCTGGCTAACACGGTGAAACCCCGTCTCTACTAAAAATACAAAAAACTAGCCGGGCGAGGTGGCGGGCGCCTGTAGTCCCAGCTACTTCAGAAGCTGAGGCAGGAGAATGGCATAAACCCAGGAGGCGGAGCTTGCAGTGAGCCAAGATCCGACCACTGCACTCCAGCCCGGGCAACAGGGCAAGACTCCGTCTCAAAAAAAAAAAAAAAAAAGTATACACTAAAAAGATACTAAAGGGCAACAATAATTTAAATACTGTAGGTAAAATGTGACCAGGGACAGGTAAATGAATGGGACAGAAAATACTGTTATATAATCTGTATTTCTCTCACTCTCTTTGTCTCTCTCTTTCTCTGTCTCCCCACCCAGAAAAAGCAATACAAAACTACGGCAATTGTCTAGAATTTTGGGGATAAAGTTCATTTATGGCCTCAATAAGACAAATAAGATATAAGTGATATTAATAAAAGCATCATAATTAAATAATGGTAGTAAATGAGTAGTTAAGAAGGTAATACAAAGGTTAAGAAATAAGATGCTCATTTCAAAGGATTTACCTGCAAATTAAAAATAAAACCAGTAATCTATAAAAGGAAAGCCAGTCAAAAATCAAATTAAAGGCTAAAACATTCATAAGAAAGTGGGAAAGTGTTACTGTTCACAGCATTAAAGTCCACACAAACTGGGCACCATGGCTCGTGCCTGTAATCCCCAACTACTTGGGGAGGCTGCAGTTGGGGGATCACTTGGGGTGGAAGGATTATTTGAGGCCAGGAGGTCCAGACCAGCCTGGCCAACGTAATGAGACCCCAATCTCGAAAAATTTAAAACAAGAAATTTAAGCCCATACAAATTGGCATAAGAAACAATAAACAATGGAAACAGTAATGGAATACAGGAAGCGAGGAGACAATGCACAAAGTAAATACAAGCATAAACAAATTAGGACAAAATGTCTGTATTCACTAATAACCAAATTAGAACAGGTTGTAAAATTTGTTCTGTAAAATTTGAAGGTTTTCATTAAAAAAAAAAATTGCCAATGTTGATAAAGTGAACTTGAAATTGTCATATATGGCTTCCTACTTAAGTGACAAGCCAGATCAAGATCTTGGCATTTTGAACATTCTCAATTAGGAGGGTATTCTATAATATACACAGCTGAGCTGTATGTCACCAAAGAGTCAGCCATGTTCGTTCCCAAATTTGCCTACTCCAGTTCTTACTGCTGCAAGCAACTAAAATTATTAATGTTTAAACACAATTATTTCTATGAAAACTAAGTTGGATGTTTTGGAAGTACTGGCTATACATGCACATTGCATTTTTATCAACGTAGGCATGGGTGAGAAACATAATAAAAGACAGAAAACATAAAAATTCAAGGATTCTGCCCTCAGATTGCTTCACAAGTATCTTTACATTCCTGCTCTACTTCAAAGAAGTTGAAACTGGAAAGAATAGCCTATGTTTCATATGTACTTTGATCAAGACAGAATGGGCTAGACCTACACTGAAACAAAATGCTGGGCCAAACATCAAAATATTGGACTATGAGAGACAATTTTAATGTTCTACCTTCTAAAACATGTATGTAAAATATTTTAATGCTAATATTAAATTAAAATTATTTATTAATTATATAATATATAATTTATATCAATTAATATATTAATTAATGTTAATTAATTAATAAGCCAAATACTAGTTTGGATTCCACTGAATCAAAGAGTTTATTCTAGTAAACACTGCTAATGTGAAAAAATACTAGTCCATCTTAGATCAAAATGAAGGAAGTATTTCCATTTGCGGGGCATCAGCTTTAAATAAAAAGAAAATAGGGGCAGGGCATGGTGGCTCACTGTAATACCAGCACTTTGGCAGGCCAAAGCAAAAAGACTGCATGAATCCAGGAGTTTGAGACCAGTCTGGGCAACATGGTTTTCCGTCTCAAAAAATTAAATA